GAGAGGAGAGAGAGAGAGAGAGAGAGAGGAGAGGAGAGAGGAGAGAGAGAGAGAGAGAGAGAGAGAGAGAGAGAAGAGAGAGAGAGAGAGGAGAGAGAGAGAGAGAGAGAGAGAGAGAGAGAGAGAGAGAGAGATTCATTCTCACCCTTGATGTGCAGATGACCTCTCTCATGTTGATGTTCATCCAGTTGTCACAGCTCACCAGGTGACCGTTGTACGTTTCACCATTTTTCAGCTCTACCAGCTGCAAAACACAACAGCCATGTCAAAGAGATGATACCTCTGGAAGTAATAATAATATAATAATAATGTTCATGATGCAAAAATACTGTAAGGAGTAGAATGTTCACACTATAAGATATTCAATGATTTGATTAAAAATAATCCCAATTAGCTCAATAAAATTTGCTTACAGTAACCTAACTCTTTTACCTGAATAATGCCATAAACTCTGAGTGCAATGTGGTACTGATAGATATATTGCCTGATAATATATCAATTTAAAAGAAAAGAGCAAAACCAACACTCACCATAGGATGGCTTTGGGCCGTTCTCAGCAAAGATAGTGGCAACTGTAACAAATAAGTTGGCTTAATTAGACAGCAGGTAGGTACCTAATAAAAGGTGATAGGCCGGAACGTCTCTTTCTAAAATTTCATTATTATCCCCACCATCTAATCTGGTAGGTACCTAAAAAATGTCTGCTTGATGCCCACACCTGAGCTTTGCAGGTAGGTATGTACCTATTAGGTAGGATGGGTAGGTTGAGGTACCATCAGGTCCAGTATGTACATAGGTACCAAGGGGCATGGAAACTACTTTCAGACTGGGGGGCACACCATAATAGATCAACCTGGGGTACCCCCAAGTCTAGTTTTCTCACTGGTTTTAGGCCACTTATTTTTCATCCCTTGACTTTTTCAACAGAGTATGAACACATTTGCATTAAGTGTGGTATTCCATTTCAAAGTTGTGGGGGCACTGCCCCATGCCACCAGAGTTGGGGGGGCAAGCTGCCCCCACTGCCCCCCCCGTTCCCGCACTTGCGTAGGTACCTTCTTAGGACTTGTATTGCCAGATCAGGCAAGAGCATGGTATAAAATCTTATGAATGGAACTCGGCAAAAGGTAGAAAAAAGGACAAGCTCCAGAAACTTTGCATCGTTGTACTAAATCAATATTGCCTGCGAGGACAGGAAAAAAAACAACAAAGAAAGTCATCACTTACCATGACTAATAAAAACTAATGTGCTTCAAAGCTAAACCTCAATAAGGATGCCTAGCAATATTATTGGCAGCGCTTATCTGCAATTCGTCTTTGTTAATCTATTTTTCCAATAAACTCAATACACCACAACAACTTCATCAATAGAATATGCGATGTGCACAAACCAAGCGTTTACGCCAAGGTTTACGCCGTTTACGCTAATGGCCATATCACACCCACACCGATCACACCGTATTTCTTGATGAGCTTCCAAATCTTTTTTTTTATGATAAGACAAATTTAGGCTAAAATGAAACATGCATTTGACACATTTAGTGAAACAACAATTCAGATTTCAATTCTCTGTTTACTGCTCACATTTCTGTAGTTAAATTACTAACAGTATCATCAAATTGTCCATCAACATTCAAACATCATAAGCTGCAAATCTACTTTGCATGTTTTTCATAAAAAAAATATTTTTTATGGCCACAATAACTTAGTTTTAATGCTAAAAAGAAATCCGTTTCCAAAATTTGTTCGATCACCGATCACGACCGAGGCCATAAGCGAAGTACATTTAATAGTCTTTGGCCATTCTTTGGCATGCTGTTGGCGAAATTGTATGCGTTCTTGGGCGAGTCATGAATATTTCGCCCAGTTGTCGGAAACGGTTGTTGCACTTGGCTGCACTCAAAGGCCAACGTGATCACAACTTTAATCCTGAATGAATCAAATGCGCAATAGTTGTAGAATATCAAGGAAGAAGAAATGAGAATTATAAATTTTAAACAAAAATGACGTATATTACAAATGAAATGAAGAGTTGTTAGTTGATTTTAAAAAATTCAACACCAAATATCCTTAAATAAATAATTTTATTCAAACAATTGCAGAAAAAAAGCCCCTCTTAAAAGCACGGTTAATTATATAAAGCAGATATTTATGAAAATTACATCAAAGAACTTTCAAAATCAGACTACAATAAGAATTGACTGGTGGCTAGCAAAGCTCTTGCTTTGCTCTTGCTCAAGATTCTTCAGTCCAAGGCCCTATCTATACACTGTGGCCCTATCTTCAGTCCAGCCAAATAGGGCCTGTTCCAGCGCCTCCAGAAACCTCCAGAAAGCTCCAGAAAGCTCTAGAATCCTCCAGAGAGCGTTCCAGCGCCTCCAGAAAGCTCCAGAAAGCTCTCACCAAAGCTCCAGAAACCTCCAGTAGCCTCCAGAGAGTTGGGAGGTCCAAATTTCTCTGGAGGCTCTGGTCTACAATTATGGCGCACATTTGACAATCACGAATGTAAACAAAGGACTTTTGACTGATTATTTTACTACTTGAATGTAAAGAATATTACATTGCTACAATTTTGTTAATCTTTCTTAATAAAATTGAAGACAAATTTTGCGTTTCAAGAGAGAACAATCGTCATTCTTTTGGTATATGTGATGCCAATCTCCAGAAATCTCCAGATTGCGTTCCAGCGCCTCCAGTAAAACCTCTGGTAGAGCCTCCAGTCAAGAATTTCTACTGGAGGCGCTGGAACAGGCCCATAGAGTCCAGCGCTTTGAGTCCGATGTTGAGAGATATTTGGCGTTTTGGGGAGAATATTATATGTAGCCAAGGATATGATATGTAAAAGCATTGGGCATAATTATTGTGATATCGGTATCCTGTAATATCCAATCACAATTGGACATTTGTTTCTGCTGGAGGTAAGGTGAGGTTATGTGGGCATGGGCTTTGGCTTGGCAGGACGTTATTGCTGTTCTACCACTGCTTTTCATCATTTTGCAGAATTTGTGACAGTTCCCTGCTTCAAGCATACTGCATGAAGGTACTTTCTACTTTTGGTCATGACGTATGTATGACTGTTATTACAGCTCTCTACATGACTCGAAACTGCTCTATGCGGTGTAGGTGGTGTGTAACCAGATTGGAAAAATCCATACACTACGCAGGATGCCTCAGAGACTGATACACCTGTGCACCAAAATTTTGGCAGACGTAATTACGCGGATGCTGCGTCATAATTTTGTTACGCTGCCTGCCGGTCGCTGTATACCTATGTTAATGGTAACATGTACAGGTCTCGCGAGATTAAGCGGTAGGTTTTGCACTTTTACATTTCTGGTTATATCTCAGGAACTAATCGATCTACCATGAGACCATTTTACACGATCATGGCCGGCTTGTTACCCAACAAGCCGATCACATCTTCAATACTTAGAAGCTTAAGACGACGAAGATATAGCCTGAAGTACAGTAAATTTTCTAGGTGCAAAACCTACCGCTAAAACCAGTGAGACCTGTAGGCTGTACCTATTTTTTCCGGTCTGGGTGTGTAATATGACTAAGTCTGCCGTATAAAGGCAAAACCCATTATGTTCGGGTGACCTCTGACCTGAGGGAATGGCCTCTGACCCGACATAATGGTTTTTGCCTTTGCACGGCAGAAGTAACTGCAGAGTCATTGCATACTGATTAGGTGTAGAAGCTGAAGCACCATAAAAAGAAGTGATAAAATACTGATGAAAATCAGTCATCTCTTGACTGTTCCCCTAGTGATTGTCTGTGAATTGCTGCGCTGTAAATAACTTACCGAGGGCCGTTCACTAGCAATTTCCTTTTAACATCATGCTACAATTTTTCAGTTTCTCATTGGTGGTACCTACTGGTTTATGCTTATCACCAATGAGGTCCTGAGATAGGTGGACACTTTCCATGTATGGAAAATCAGCAGATTGCTGATGAAATATACAGTGACCAAAAAAAGCTCAATAGATACACTCGGGGGCAGATTGATGTTCCACCACTCCCTACCCATCGGGCGACGGGCTCCCAATGGCTCAGCACTGGCCGCTGCCAGTGTTGCTTGCCCTCAGCACTGCTCAGCACTGCCTGCCAGTGCCAGTGGTGCCAGTGCTGCCACTGGCCGCTGCCAGTGTTGAGCCATGGGAGCCTGATGGGTAGGGAGTGGTGGAACATCAATCTGCCCCCCAAGTGTACAGTGATTTTTTTTTAATGCACTCATTAGTAAATATCAGTATTCAGTACAGCCAAATGCCAACCCAAGTACAGGTAGAGCTCAAAGTTTAAGGTGCATAAATAGCTGCTCACAGTTTTTTTTTTTTAGTATGGAGTGTGGCTGTCAATCTGCCCAATGCCCATTAAACTGTTTGAGCTAAATTTATAAGTAAAATCTCCATAAGCATAATCAGTGCCATGGATGAAGTATTCCAATCCATGTCAGTGCCTTGCTGACTGCTCTGTAACCTCAGCCTCTCACAATTCACATCACCACACTTCAGCATTACTCTGTTTCTTAACATCCCTCCCTCCGCAGTCTCCAGCTGAGGAGCTGCCTGCAGACCCACCATGCCGGGCAAGGTCAAGGTACGGGTGCTGGCCGGACGGAACCTACCGGTCATGGACCGAGCTAACGACACGACCGACGCGTTCGTCGAGATCCGGCTGGGCACGGTGACGCAGAAGACAGACGTGTGCCGACGCTCGCTGAATCCCCAGTGGAACTCGGACTGGTTTCGGTTCGAGGTAGGACATAGTGGCGCTGCCTGGTGTGTATTGTATTGTATTAAACATCCATAGAACATCCGCGATAACCGAGGCTAGTTGCTCAGTGTCAAACGCATGCACACGTTAAATACATACTGCTTAGTGCTTATGCCTCTTGGTGTCGGTTGAGGTGAGAGTTTCCCGGTAAGTTAATCTGTTTCTGTTTGGATATGTTATGTGTTATGCTTTCGAGGAAGTTTGATAAGCAGTCGGCGTTGTTAAATCGCCAACTTACGCAGTAAAAATGTCTTATCATATTACTTTTACTTACACTTGTACGGAGAATGTCTGTTCGTTGAATACCAAGTTTTCTGAGCGACAGCCTACTGGCTTTTCCATGGACAACTGGAGATACAATGATGTCTATTGATCTGCTGAGTCTCCCGCCCATCCACTAAGTGACCAACTGTAATGCTCCTGCCCCATCGATCAATAACCCCACTCCATGGGGTTCATATCCCATCTCCCGACCGTTACCGATATGCCGGGCTGTTTCTAGGCACAGGACAACTCTCTGCTGGATGATATTCCATAACTGGCTGACCCCAGGGTCCTCGTTCCTTCTCTGACACCCGCTAACCCATACTTCTCAGTGCTCCCACTCACACCCTCCACCGCGCCTGCCTGCTTATGTGTCTGTAGGTTCAGGACGACGCCGAGCTGCAGGACGAGCCTCTTCAGATCCGTGTAATGGACCACGACACGTACTCTGCCCACGACGCCATAGGCAAGGTGTACCTGAGTCTCAGTCCGCTGCTGGCTCCCGAGCTCATCAGCCGCGCCGACACGGCGCCCGCCGGGTCCGCAGGTCGGCAGTCCTCAGTTCTCCCCGCTGTACTTTGCATAGTTGCGTACCTATCGTAAATGTACTATCCCAAACCATATTGCGCTTCACTCGAATGTTTTCAGCTATTCGCTTTGCTAGCTGCATTTGTGTTGAAAATATTAGCTTATGCTGATGGTTTACACATAGAGCCATTACGAAAGCTCGTTAGGACTGTGCGCCTTTAAATGTCGGAAATTCCGTTCGTTTGCGTTGTGTCTGTTATTGATTGCAGCCATTAATTATTTCAGTTAAATAATTCAACATCTTCGACGTTAATCCATTACCGATTTCAACACACTTGTCCAATGTCCTTTAGCAATAAATGTTTATGTTCCCCTGATGTTTTATTCACCGTTGCGTATGGCTGCATCTCACACATCGCTTGTTAATTGTATGATCTTTGTATTGTTCGCTTCTAACGGTAACCTCGCCCACAGGCGGACCTTCCGTGATCTCTGGCTGGATTCCGATCTACGATACCCTGCACGGTATCCGCGGAGAGGTCAATGTCATGGTCAAGGTGGACCTCTTCAGTGACTTTAACAAGTTCAGACACTCGTCCTGCGGTGTGCAGTACTTCTCCAGTGAGTGGATGGTGGTTGCTCGGCGATGTCACGTACGTTTGCTTAATCGGACATTCCCTCGATGACATTTGTTTAGGCCAGAGTAAAACTAGCTAGATGCGCTCTAAAAAGATATGCATCCAATTTTCTAATTAATTTAGTATCTGTTCCTTTTCCCGTGTATCGTTCTGCGTCGAGCATAAGTAGCAAATCACCCGGGTAGAATGTATCGTTCACCGAGCTGGTGATCGTAGTTACGTCCCTGGCAGCGGCCCAAGGCAGAGTTCGGTTCGTCCCGGGTTGAAGTTGACCTATCGCCTCACGCCCTTGGCTCTACTCTACTTGTACACGGGAACGACAGGACATTGCCAGCGCTCGCGACAGTCGCGAGGTTTTGCCGGCGGCTGCGTCACAAAGTTTGTCAACCAGTCAACTTTTAGAACCGGATCACTTTTAGACGTTTTCATATCAGATTGCGCTACTTTAGTCCAGGATGTATGTGTTATGTCATGTCCATACAGTGATCACTCTTTTATCATAGCACGTCTTACCATACCAAAGATTCGAGCACGACCCAACATTGTCTACTCTAGACGCCTTGACCGCATCGATACCGCTGTTTTTCATGACTCGCTCTGTCACACCGACTGGAGCGCGGTTTTCTCGCGTGTGGGATTGACGGATCAGTGGGCTGCCTTTACTGAGCTACTCTTACCTATCCTGGACTTTCATGCTCCCTTACGGTGTCTCAAAATTCGCAACCCCTCTGCACCCCCTGCCTCGGACACCACCCTGCGACTCATGGCACGGCGCCGTGGACTTCTTGCCCGAGAGGGCCGGACTCCTGCCTTCCTCGCCCTGGACAAACAAGTAAAATCTGCTATACGTCGTGACGTTAAAAACGACATTGCCAGCCGGGTGAGGAGGCAGGGTCCGGCCTCCACCTTCCGTAACCTTCGGCAGGTGATCGAGGGCAAGAGGTCCACTCAGCGAGTCGTGCCTGAGGCCACCCCCAACGAGCTGAACGATTACTTTGTGGGGGTCGGCCCTCGGGTCGCGGCTGAGGTCCGAGACAGGGGGGAGCCCCTTCCTCTTCCTTGCAGACTACCTAGAGTAGGCGCCTGTGCACTCACCTTACAACCTATTTCCCTTCACTCTCTCCGATGTGTCCTTTTTTCCATGAAAAATTCCTCTTCTTCCGGCTCCGACGGTGTCAGCATCCGGATCCTACGCCTCTGTTTCGACTCCATCGGTCACGTCTTTCTCTACTTTGTCAACACCTGTCTCACAACCTGTGAATTTCCCGCGTCCTGGAAGCACTCTATCGTCCACCCCATCCACAAAGCGGGCAATCCTACTGATCCATCCAACTATCGACCTATCTCAATTGTTCCTGCCTTTGCCAAACTTGTAGAAAAAGTTGCTCAGCAGCAGCTGTACACCTACATGTCTGGCAACCATCTATTTTCCTCATCCCAGCACGGTTTCCGCTCTTGTCTCTCCACAGAAACCGCGCTCGCCACCGTATCCGATCACATCCTTTCTGCCACCGACCGTCAGGAACTCACTCTCCTATGTCTCCTCGATCTCTCCAAATGCTTTGACGTCATCGACCACTCAAAGCTTCTATCCAAACTTCAAACCTATTCTATCGATCCGACCTGGTTTTCTTCTTACCTCCGTGGCCATTCCCAATCAGTTTGCACAACTGACGGGCGAGGAAACCGAGTCCTCTCCGATCCTCTACCCAATCCTATCGGCGTGTTCCAAGGATCCTCGCTGGGCCCGCTCCTGTTCCAAATATTTGCCAATGACCTCCCTCTTTTCGCTCCCGGGGCGCACGTGGTGCAGTACGCTGATGATACCCAAATTCTACTTTCTGGCAAAAAAGATTCCCTCCCTCATCTCATCGCCACTTTAGAACAAATTTTGGACTCTTTTGATGCTGGTTTCATACCAACGGCTTAAAAGTTAACACAGCTAAAACTGAGCTCATCGTTTTTGGCTCGCGCCAAAATTGCCGCAGCCTGGATCCCATCTCAATTCGGTTCCGTGAGGACACGATCCGTGAGGGCCCCACGGTGAGGAACCTTGGCGTGGTTTTCGACAAGCACCTCACCTGGGACGCTCACGTATCGGCCCTCGTCCAAAAATGCAACGGTATCCTCATTGGGCTGTCCCACGTGCGTCACCACATCCCTTGTGAACTTCTGCCAACCGTGGTCAGCGCCTTGGTCCTCTCGCACGTCCGATATTGTCTCTCGGTTTATGGAAACGGGTCGGACAAAAACACACAACGCCTCCAAAAAGTTCTCAATTTTGCGCTGCGCGTTGTGTCCGGCCGAAGAAAATTTGACCACATATCGGACGTGCGAGAGGAACTGGGCTGGCCTACCGCCCGTCAGTTGTACGAAATCCACTCTCTTAACTTCCTTCACAAAATACGCTGCACCGAAGAGCCGGATACTATGTCCTCCCAAATCCTGGCCAACTCTTCCCTTCGCTCACGCTCAACCCGGCGGGACACTGATCTGTCTCTCCCACGCGTGAGAACCGAAGCAGGGAGGCGGCGCCTGCTCTACAGCATAGCCCAGTTGTACAACCGTCTGCCCCATGACATTAGACATCTCCCTCTGGGAGCTTTTAAACGCTCTGTTTCCGAGTTGTATCTGCGTGATTAAGGATGAATGTGTGATTTGAATTGTGTTCTGTTTGATGTGATTGATGAGTGTATCTTAACTTGTTTTTCCTTTTAACCGTGACGCGACACTCGGAATAGCCATTTTACTGTGGAGAGTGTTTTAACTGTCAAATACAAATACAAATACAAAGTATTTAAACCATCCCAGAGATGTTGTTTTTCATTAGGCTGAGTGCGTATGTGCCAATAGGGTATCGCTAAAGCAAATGATGCAAATACTTGTCATTGTTAGTGAATTAATGTTATTAGTTGTCTTTCTCTATAGTTCTCACATTATCTATTTTACGATGCCTTTTTTAAGTTCACCTCCCGTGTGCTTTCCCCAGGTCCGTGTGTGCCTGCTGGCCACTGCGTACAGGCCATGCTGGGCTTTGTGCACGAGCTGGTGGTGAATGATGACCCCGAGTACCAGTGGATTGACAAGATCCGCACTCCCCGGGCGTCCAACGAGGCGCGACAGACGCTCTTCTCCAAGCTGTCGGGAGAGGTGCAGCGCAGGATTGGAGTGAATGTCATCGAGGCCGGAGGGAACGCCGTCATTGGGTGGGTGAATGGCAGGCTGCTGTTTCGGGCTTGTTGTGAATTACGAAAGGAGAGCTTCGTGGGTCTTATCTTTTCTTGAGTTAAGAAATAGTGACGTACAAAACAAGCAGAGCTTGGCTTATTTACAAAGCTCAGGATGAGGGATACCTAGCAGCTTTATTGATCCAGAATGTTATTATTATGGAGTGGGTTTGGGAGGAAATCATGAACTCTGGCTTAGGTGTTTTTTTCCGCTGCCGGCTGTTGTATATCGATAGAGTGGGCTTATCTGATCATTACCGGCCGGTTGTTATTATCTCGCGTGTTTTTAATGCCTCTCTCTCCTGTTCTCCGTGCAGGTACCGTCAGTGTTTTGATCTGGAGGGCGAGACGGGTATCGTGGTGCGCGGGATCGGCACGGCCGTCAGTCTGGTGCGGACTGAGGCGCGCCCCAGCAGTCCCAGTCCGCTCAGTCGCCAGCCGGGCAGCGGCCGGGACCGGGACAGGTGAGTCGCAGTCAACTCTACAGTCCCCAGTTGGCGGCAGACTGACTGAGCTGACTCTCCCAGCTGATCCTATCACAGCTCCCTGGACTGCACTAGATGGACCGTTTACCTGTCAAAAGAAGGATATATGATATTGCAGCTAGATGTACTTAACTAGCCTTAGTGAGCCTAGACATATTATAATTATGACTTCAGCTTCTTTATATCATACCTATCGCATTGTAGCTTCCACATCGTAGTTACTGTATTCATAGCTCAATATCCTATCCTTCGGAATCATCCTTTCTTTGACTTCGTTGAGGTAAGGTTCCGTTGATCCGCTAGTAACGTAGCGATATGCCAGAATTTCCTTATCACGGATTCCACGCTAGCGTCTCGGAATTTTAGCTTGAAGACTACCTAAGTCTGCCCTGGTGACTGGGCAGTGTCAATAAAGGGTTCCTTTCTTATGTTGGTTTTCTTGGGCTTGTTTTTAATATTCCTCTGTCTTGTCTTTGGGGTGCTTTTTCATGTCTGGCTTTATCTCACTCTGTTGCTTGGAATGTGTCTGTTTTGGCTCTGCACGTCTCAGGGTCTTTGCTCTATTTGGGGTTGTCTATAATGGCACCAAGCCATGAATGCATATATGATCATCTCTGTGCTTTTATTATGGGGCTCATAATTGTATGCTAGAGTTGGCGCTTTGCTCAATGCACTGTATAGCGTGCAGTGTGCACTGTTTCTGCTGTCGCTCTGGGCAGTTCGGGGTTCACGGGCTGGCTTTGGGAACACGCGGCGAAGCACTGGAGGTCACCAGGCACGATCGGACCCAGCTTCCATCACTGTTTCTCTAAAGCTCTTCTGCATGATGTCAGTTCCCCGCACCCCCTCACGGCTAGCGTCGCTCGCTGGCCGGCTCCGTTCGCGCCTGGTGCTTCCCCTGCTCCGCCGCCGAGTTTTCTCTGGGTCTCTCTGTGGCTGTGTCTGCTGAGTGGCTCCGTGTCCTCTCTGGGTATCCGGCAGCTCTGCGGTCGAGGGCTCCGCCGCCGCGTCGGCCGGTCTCCGTCCCGTGCCGTCCGTACAGCTGATGCCGGCAACTCCAGAACAGGAGCAGCCTCCGGCGACTCCGCCCTCACCGCGACCGTTCGCCGCGCCGGCGCCGGCCGCCTCGCGAGGCATCCTAGCCGCCGCCCACCAGTTCGTGAAAGACAGACTGAGTTTCCGACGTCGCGGCTCGCGTCGCACCGGCGCGCGAGCGCTCAGTAGAGAGGCGTTTAGTACACCGAACTTCCAGCCGGTGATCGAGGCTGCAGCGAGGTATGAGAAGAAAGCCCGACCCGCCGGCCGTCGGCGGAGACTGACGTCGTCCTGTGATGGAACTCCTCGCAGACTGGGCTCGCTAAACTCGGTGAGCGAGGCTGCTGGAAGCGCCTTGGAAGACGGCGACGATGATGGTGATGACAGTGAGAATCCCAGTGAACCTGGCGAAGACACAGTTGAAGATGGTGATGATGATGATGCTGGTGATGCTGAGGGTGATGCCACTGGTGACGATGTTACTCAGAATGGTGATGACGGTGGTGACGCCGAGCGCGAGCGGCCTGTCATGGTGATCAGCTCCTCGGAGGACACAGCCAGCGAGACGGGCGACGAGGCGGAGCGGCGCAGCACCGACATCCCCAACTCCACGCTCCAGCTGGCCCTGGACAGTCTCAGCGCGCATGACGTGGTGTACATTTCCAGCATGAACATGTTAGTAGAGGTAGCGTCTCTCTATCCCAGCCTGAGCACCGATAATGCATGCGATGACAACGAGGAACCAGTGCTAGATCTTGAGAGCTTCTCACAGGATTACCTAGACAACCTGGATAACCCGGTACCGTACCCAGTCAAGTTCACCCTGTACCCTGATAGTTCGGATAGTCTTTCTAACGACGAGAGTTCTGGTGTTTGTGCGCCTGTGACTTTCTCCCTATACCCCGACAGTGGTGATAGTCTGGCCCGTTTAACTAACACGGAGGATGATCGGTCCGGCGACGCGTGCCCCGCCCCTCATCCATCTCCAGTTCCTTCGGGAGGCCTCTCTCCGTCCTCGTCCAAACCCGAGTCAGCCAGTGTCCGGTCCTCGGGGACAATGGTTGCCTCGCCAGCTGGCGGCTCGACCCATGAGGCTCCCGCATCTAGCGTCAGTGGGGACGGATCGTCGCGCGGGGCTCTCCCAACCACAGTCAGTGAACTATTCCGACAGTCTGGGATCGTGTGTCGCAGTGGTGACGTTCAAACGCTGCTGTCTGACGAGAACACCCCCGCTGCCTCCCGGCTTCCTCAGCGGGACAGTAGCGGCGATATTATGTGGTGTCCGGATGACAGTCAGCCCGGCTCGGCTGCCGGTAGTTTGGAGGTCGTCTCTCAGTTGGACAGCTCTGATAACCTCGCCTCACCGGCGCCGGACGAGCCCGGGTCGACGACGTCGAGCGGTGGCGACGACTGTCTGAGACGAAGGGATCTTTTTGGCCGGTTGACACCTCCACGCCGCGTTATGCGACACGTCGTATCGGCGCCAGAGGTGGTGATCGGCGCTGGTGCCCGCACCGGTTTCGCTCCGGACCCGTCACTAGCCTCTATGATGTCTGAGGACCCAGAACTAGCGGCCCTAGCCTCGCTGGAGTCGCTCCAGTCAGTCCACAGCGTATCAGACGTGACGCTAGGCCTGGCTGAGGACGATCCCCTCAGTTTACCGGGCGCTCCCGAGATGGCCTCACTGCACAGTGTCTCCTCTGAACAGCTACTTGCGCTGACAGGCCTCCCGGCAGTCGCCGTTGAAGCCTTGTCGCCCACAGCGCGCTGGGATGCCAGCTCTGACGAGGGCTCCTGTGATCCCGGTCAGCTGGTCCGCTCTCCTGAGATGGTGTCGCTGCTGGTGGAGTCCCCCACTCCCCCGGTGACGGCCCCCTCCCCGGACCGCCTGGTTCCCCCTCCGGTACCGTCCCGCCCATCCTGTCCCACTCCCGCCGCCCGCCCGTCTCCCTCCCCCTCCCCGCGCCTGTCCGGCCGGTCATCCTCCTCTCGCGTGAGTGCGAGCGGCGCCCCGCGACAGCGCCGCTCGCCGTACCGGGCCGCGGGCACCGACCGGCGCGCTGATGGCCCTCGTTCGTCTTGCAGCGACCCGTGTGGTAGTCCCCACCTTCCGCAGCCGCCCGCTGCCGCCAGTGCCGCCTCTGTCCCCGCCGTTGGAGCAGCCGGAGCGCCAGCCGCAGCGTCAGTTGGAGCGTCAGCCGGAGCGCCAGTTGGAGTCCCAGCCGCCCATACGACTTCGGTAGAGGGGAGTGATTCCGGTGACAAGCTCAGCCGCTCGCTGGAAAACGATACCAACTTCAAAGGTGAGAGAATAGTAGCTGTACTGGTATGACACCCACGGATGTAAACGTTTTTTTCTTCAAAAATGTTTTTTACATGTGGACACCTCATCATTACAACATATCACTACTGTGTATACTGTATAACGTATGTATTCTACATGTACAGTTGTATATTTGCACATACCTAATATGCAGTTGTATTGTATGTACAGTAATAACCCACCTCGGTATTAGGTGTTGGATAATCAGCTGTAATATAGTTATATAACTTGATTTCTAGGTGAAATCACGGTACAGCCCTCAGCAGACTGCGTGGTAGGTATTCTTTTTTCGACAAAACCGGTAATAACTCAAGGACTATGTGATCTGTCGGTCGGAATTCATTGCAAATAGAGGCACCATGCTCCACTCCTTCGATTGGGTCTATCACTAAACAAAGTATATGCTTTGTGTGGCAACAAAATGCAACAGTTTGTTTTGGGGGTAAAATATAAACTTTTGAGTTTTGTTGCCAAACTGGATGGAAAATGAATACGATGGTAATGCCCATCTAAGATGCGGAGTCTCGCGCGTTTTGCTGTTACGATTTCCTAGTGACCGATAGCATAGTATCCGCGATATTCTCGGTTTTGTCGAAAAAAAGAATACTTACCACGCAGTTTGCAGAGGGCTTTACTCGCTCGTATTGCCGAGTGCTCAAGGCTATATAGTGAAGGCCATCGACAGTCCTGCTTTTTCCACCATCCACCGTCTATTATCCCTCACATCATCTGCCTTCTGAATCCTGAAATGGTGTCTCCCACTGGCCACGGTTTTGGGCAGTACGTCGCCTGTCCTCCGTCTCCCCTTGTCCGACTCTCGCCCTCCCCCTCTCATCCACGAGCTTTCAGCCTTCAGCCCTTAGCCCGCCGCCCGCCGTTTGACCCTTCCCCCTCACAGCCCCAAGCAGCACTACGTCCACCGATTGCTGTCTTACGCCTCCCCTCCTTCCCCTTAAAGCCCCAAGCAGCACCACGTCCAGCGGCGCTGACACGAAGCTACTGGCCCAGCTGGTGACCACGTCAGCCCAACAGCGAGGCCAGCAGCAGGATAACTACGAGTCGGCAGAGTTCCCCTTCATCACACTGCGCACCTTTCCGTCAGGGTTCATCACGCATATCGGTGAGTTGGGACGGGGGCGGGATTGTAACACTTTATGCATCCACTGGGTGTGCATCTTCACTCAGTGTGGAGTCGACTGGAGGTATAGGAGGGATTTTTCTTGAATGGGTCGCAGTACCCGTAACCCTCAACTTCGCCATTCTTGAGTTAGACTTCCGATGGATGTTGGAACAATGTTATCAAATATTTTCTCAAGCCAAGTAGCCTCAAGCAATCGGTGACTTTTGGTGCCTAATCCTTCGTTGCTTGGTATGATGTTTTAATCTGAGTCTCTGCTTTGCTTAGCCTTCTCCCAGACACCTTGTCTACATCTATGCTGACTGCTCATCGCTCCTACTATATCGCCGTCCTACTTGTTATATCGCGTTGTCGTTTCTAGCATCGTTTCGGGCGTAAAATGACCTTAGAAGTCGGCGCGCCCTAAAGCCCCAATTAACAAACAAACCCCTTCCCTCCGACCCCATCCGCAGGCGGCACGGTGAGCGCCCGCTCCGTGAAGCTTCTCGACCGTATCCACCACCCTGAGGAGAGTGAGACGCGGGACGCCTGGTGGGCTGAGGTCCGGACTGAGGTCCGCTCACACTGCAAGTCACTGGCCTGCAACGTCGTGCTGGGATATGAAGAGGCCACCACCATCTGGTGAGGAATTGTGGCGTGAAATGTGATCAGAGGTTTGTAGCAGTGATGATTAAAAGAAACTTTTTCCCTCGCTACTTTAGATCACTTACCACAAAGTGATGAGGGAAGTAAATAACTGCATTTTGCAGACGGATACCTAAGCTCAATGCAAAATCAGTCCGTTTGTAATTCGCATTTGCTTGTTCATGTGTGCAAAGTAACTGACAGACTTAATGTTGCCGTAAAGGCTAAACAGGGACGTGAAAGAGCCGCGGCCATTCCAACGAGCGGAAGGAGCGAATTTTATTTCCGATTATATCTAATCAGGCAGCGGCTGATACAATGACCCATCAAAACATCGGTCTCTCCGCGGTTCTCCCAGGGATGACGCATGTGTGCTTAGCCTATGGCACGGGTCTGACCTCCACCCTTCCCCTCCTCAGGGATGACGTATGCGTGCTGAGCGCCTATGGCACGGCTGCCACGGTCAACTTTGCCGCGCTGGGTCTGTCGGAGCCACTGGCGGCCGCCCGCTGTGACTCCCGGGAGGTGCGGTCCGCACTGCGACTGGACGCCAGTCTGACCAGCCAGGTACGAGCGTGGCGGATCACTTTACTACCAATATACGAAAGCGATGGATAACTTTGGTAACTTTGGTTGGTCTCATTAGACCGAAAGGGCCAACCCCCCCCCCCCCAAAAAAAGGATAACTTTACCAGGCAGATACGAGGGTGGCGGATAAACTATACTGTCCAGATACGCCGAGGGTGGCTGCTAAATCGACCAGCCAGGTATGAGTGAGGCAGACTGCTATACCATACCAGACAGACAGATGTCGAGGGTGCTGCTACCCTGATTTGTCTAGCATATTTACGGAATTACTACTTGCTGGTAATATCGTTCAAAGCCCTTCTGCTTTCTGCAATGTGCCAGCAGCATCCATACTATTTTATGTCGGCTCTTTTCATCTACTAAATATAGTTGACTGTTTTACAGCCACCTAAATACAGCCACCCGGTGCTTATTCAACATGTTCTATCGCCCATGCTCTCGCCACAGGCCCTGGTGATTCTGGAGGAGCCCGACTCGTCCGTGTCCAACTGTGCCCCGTGTCACCTGCCGTACAGCCAGGGCAGCGCGCCCGCGTCGGCGCTCCAATTCAACTGCGCCGTATGTAGGTATGTACGGGACCGTCAACAGGGTGGTACTGACTGCCTTTTTCTAGGTTATAACTCGCCTATTCGCTCCCGCTCGTCACGTGACCTAAGGTCAACTTTTGACCTTTCGACCTTTCGAGGTCAACATACATATGTTTCGATGCGGATCGACGAGAGGATCACGATGGTGCTATTGGTTTGTTCCTAGCTGGGATACCTTGAAAGTTATTCGAGAAAAACTTCATATATATGTAGTGCCGCAATTTTGACTTCCTTTTTGCTCCTGTGACGTCATCTTTGACCTGACCTGAAAATGACCTCAGTAAAAATTATAGACCTTATCCGTTTGTACCCTGCAACGTTTACCGCTTGTCGCTATCTTGCTTTATTCTCGAGATCTCGCTGTCGCTCCCGCTCGTAATAATGGACAGGTCATAAAAATGACCTGACCTGAGGTCAACGCAGGGCGATATCCACTTTTTTTATTTTCGCATATGAATGACAATTGATAAGGCTTTAATCGTCATCAGACAAAATTGCAACTTTCAGTGGGGAAAATATCAAGGTCACTCTTCGAAAAATGGGTCAAAAGGTCACGTGATCAAAATTTTCAAAAATTGAAAATCAGAGATAGCCAAAATGTTTGTTGGCTGATTGTGAGTTGAACCATATAAAGTTTTTATCGTAGAAAACCGATAGTTTCTGAGTTATAGGCCGCCAAACATAGGGCTGCAGCGCGACCTCCAGGAATTGCCCGAGGCTATATCTCGGAAACCGTTGTTCGGAGAAAAAAATCCTTGCCACAGCTGGCTTCCCCGCCCATCACAACCCCTTACACCAGTTTCCAACGAAAAATAAAATATGAGGGTGCAAATTTAATCTTTTATTTGTCGATTTGTCGTGGGTCCTATGCAGTTTTCTGTTTATGACTGACGCGCGCAGTCTACACGGTTTGCGATGCTGTACTGAGTCGGCGTTGTCTGCAGTTTCCGGCTGTCGGTAACACGAGGGTTGACGGTAACATCCGGGAGTCTGACGAGGTTCGAAGTTGTAACCGTACCCTTCTGGCCGTGATTCCAGGAAGAGCAAGGTGCCGGACGTGGTGTTCAGCACCATCGAGCCGCCCGGAGGATTGCCCGTCACCGGACGCGGCTGTCTCGTTCAGGTGAGGAGCGCAGGCGCTGAGGCTCGTGACGTGTGACTATTTGTTATTGAACCACCGGGGAGATTGCCGGTTACCGGCCACGGCTGGCTGGTCCAAGTAAGGGCCGTTTGACGCCGGATGACGGCATCTCAATTTATAGCGATTTTAGTTGAATCATTAGCGGGGTCAACTAGAAGACGGGTCGAGATCTCATCTCAGTGAATGTGTCACTTTCCGTAGCTCTTGAAACACTTATGGACTTTCTTTTTTACTTGCATATCATTTCAGTAATATAGCCTCCAAAGTCCGCGTCGCTGCCTCGCCCGAGTCTGTGTACGCTCTGTAAATGACGAGCCTTCTTATTTACACCTCTTCCCCAGGCCCGCGTGTGTCGAGAAAAAGCCGACGTCAAGTCTGAGGTTTTGGCCAAGGAGGTCTCTGACCGACTACCGTTCCTCGAGTACGAACTGCACCGGCAGCTGCTCACCAAGCTCAGGATTCTCGGCATGAATGCGCTATTTGACCTGACGGTACGTTGGAAGTTTGATCTGACATGAGCGAAAGGCTGCTGTTTATTTAGGGAAAAGGGAGCGTAGCTGGAACAATTTTTTTTCATTCCCGAAGCATGATCTCTCTCTCTCTCTCCTCTCTCTCTCTCTCTCTCTCTCTCTCTCTCTCTCTCTCTCTCTCTCTCTCTCTCTCTCTCTCTCTCTCTCTCTCTCTCTCTCTCTCTCTCTCTCCCGCGTCCCCATGTAATCTAACCCTCCCTCCCGTTTTATGTCCACAGATTCAGCTGTCGATTGGTGAAGAGATTATGGTGGCTGTGGCCACAGCGACTGCCGTCTACCTGTCTGCCCTGCCGCCGCCCGTGGTGCCTCGGGTCACATCAGGTCAGTGATGGGGTGACAACGTCGTGGGAGGGATGTCTGGTTTGTATTTACGACAGAGTGTCTGTCTCTATTTCTGACTGAGTCTGATAAGATTTGCATGCTTGTTTTGACCTGATTGTCTGTTTGTATGTTTGTCAATGCCTATTTCTTAGTTGAGCTCTATCTGACCTTCGCGTCTTTCTGCATCCACAGCCGTTAATGACAGCGCCGACCGTCTCGCCGAGACGCAGCGTCGGATCACAGAGACTGTGGCCAGTAACCGGGAGGCGTTCAACATCTCCGACCAGGTAGGTGTGCCCTCACCGCGCTCCCCACGCCGCTCTGCGCCTCAGGCGTCTATCGACCCGTCCCGCTGCCAATAGACGCCCCGTCCGCCCGTGTCGATCATTGATTGCGCCCGGTGCGACGTTATTAGTTTTGATCCGGCGGCCTCAGGCCGGTATTGACGGGCGCATTGAGTCTGGGTGAGGCCCTGTGAATGAGATGAATAGGTGGCACGGCCTCTGCGCAGCATAGAACGCCGCAAGGCGTTCGCAGATTTCTATTAAGGATTGAAGCAGCGCCAGCAAAGCCAATGCTTTCATCGTTATTACCTGCGTTATAATGTGGTCGTTTTAAGATTAAATTTATATATCTTTATGCACACCGAAACATTTTGTGTCGAATGCCTCGTTCGCTAGCGGAGCCGTTCTGAATGCGCTTTCAATGTTCTTTGTTCCGGCATCCTTTGTCTTTTCCCCCTTTCGACTGTCGCACTCTGCGTGACCCGCTTGGTAACTGCTCAATACTGTAATTGCATGGCACATATCCGCTTCATAATGGAGTGGAGATCCCCAGCTTCTTACCATGCCCTGAACCCGACATTTCCCCTCCATTTCCCTATCCTGTACTACCCTGCATCCTGTAAAGGAATGTTATAACCCTTTATTTTATCATATCTCTCCCCTGTCCTCAGGATGAGAGTGGGAGGACGTCGGACGAGGAATCAGAGGACGAGGAGGACAAACCGGAGCTGGACCTTGCAGCGGGAAACAAGGACGCCTGCATACTGGAGGTGGGATGGGGAAACCGTAGAGCTGTGACCGTGGGAACGCAATAACTGATCTGTGGTCCTAACTAGGGTGCCGGCTGGGGCAGAGTACCGTGCTCCTGTAAAAAGGTGTTGACCGCTGTGGTTGTGATGGGGCTGAGGCGCATAACTGGCCGATGCTGAATATCTTTTTACTTCTGGCGACCTGTCGTGACCTCTTGTGAACTGAACAGTGAGCATGCTGGAGTATGCAGTGTAATCGTAATTCGTAAGTGATCTCTGGTGACTTGTACTGTATGTGGTGATGGATCCTCTACAAGTGCCCACTAGTGACCTCTTTTCACACGTCTCTGTCAGATGGACGACACAGAGGATGCGGACCTGCTCTCCATGCTGATGAGCCGACCTCCACCGGAGCTGTTTGACCTCGTCTCGACGAGCAGCGTGCCCGGGGTACCGGAGCGACTGCTGCTGGATGACCGGCAGCTGTTCACGCGGATAGTGCGGACCAAGCTGAGCAGCGCCTCCAACCGGCAGCTGGCGCAGACTGTCGAGAAAATCATTCAGGTGGGCGCCGTTGGAGCGTGGTGAGCTGGGATGGTTGGAGGCGCGGCGATGGGCCGTGGAGAAAAAGCATACAGGTGGGCGTCGTGGAACGTTTGGGAGGGGTGGCGATGGGGTGGTTGATAGTATTATGGAAAATATACAGAAATGAGCAATCTGAGGTGATGAGGTCAGGTGCCATAGGTTGATGCATGTTGATAAGATCAAGTGGGATGCCGAAAGGAATGACCTATAGCTGATCGAGGAGCATTGTCTAACCCCTCCCACCGTCCCATTCCACCAGGGTCTGTACTTCAAGCTGCGAAAGCTGGCGCCGTGCGCACTGTGCGGCCTTCGGTTCAGTGTCGATCTGCCCGAGGACGACGAAATCCAGATATCCGTGTATGGTACGTGGCGCCGCCTGGTGGATGATATCTCGTGGTGTCAGTTCGAGATTCTGTTGGCTTTCTGAATTGTCCGATAACAACTTGCCAGATTATTTGTCGATGTTCATATCCCGGTAAGGTTGAATGGTGAGCATCAACGTTAGGACTTCTCGATGTAGGTTGAATACAAGCGAACAGAAACGCACATCAGCACAGTATCTGAAGTCCTGGCTGGAAGTAAATTTGTTATGCCTGATATCCCAACTACACTACCAACTTCCGTCAATATATTCCTCCTCGCAGACTGATCACGTTCTGTATCATCTCCGCTTCCCCTCCCTAGGTGCGGCGCTAAGCGTCAGCGCCCCTCTCAGCAAGCAGGCGTCTCTGCGCTCGGCCGGCGCGGAGAACGGTTCAGCCGACGGCACAGGGGAGGGTCCGGTTGGAGACAGGTCGGCCGGCCGGGCCGGCAGTGTCACCGGAGCGCTCAAAACTCAGGTGAGGGAGCGATGGAGGAAATGGAAGCGGCATGGGAGAGGGTTGTGTAAGACTGGACTCTGGAGGATGTAGCAGCGTGTATCTAGTGATCCAAACTTATCGCTCCTATTTTTACCTGTTCTTCTCAAGTTTGCAAGCAGAGGCAAGTGAAAGCTATTTGAAAAAAATATATAGTCAATGTTCTTGGAAGAAAATTAATGCATTGAAGGAAGTCAAAGCTTTTGTGTGTATGTTCAAAGTTTACCGAGATAACTTAACCGTGCACTTTCAGTGTTCATTATGACGTCATTGTTCCATCTCCTCTCGTTCAGAACTCACTGTGGCGCGGCGACTATGATGTCATTATTACGCCACTGCCGCACGTCACCGGCGGAAAGGTGGAGCGCTGGCTGGGCAACCTCAACTTCTTCTTCATTCGAGAGTGCACCGGACTCAGAGAGGTGAGTCAGAGTGGCGCTGTCTTCGTAGCTTTTCAGGCAGACGGGCGATAGCTGAAGTGTGAGTTATGAAGTTCTACGTGGTCTTGCCGACTTGCCGCACGGAAAGCCTGTGGTTCAGCCCTTTGCAAAGGTAAAACCTTCGGCTATGACCCATGACCAAAAATATCCGGTTACCGACAAACCTGTTTTTCCTATATTCTACAACAAATACCCGAGCGCTGTTCGGCAGCCGGCTATTTTGTGTGCAGGGTATGACGTATTTCGCGAGCCGACGTCACAGGCGGTGACGTCGGCTCGCGCGCGAGCCGAGCGCCAGCGACAAACTAACGGGAACCCTCGGACACCCTCGGGGCATAAACCGCGGAGTAGCATATGGAGCGAGTCTTATAAGGAAAATTCATATATTTTCGTTTCTCAAATGATAATCAGGGTGTCTCTTACCTTTTTACATATCATTTAGGCTTACCTAACACTTCAGTTGCCAAATATCTGCAATTTATTCAAGCGAAGGTATTTTCAGTAAATATCAATGGTATAGACCGAAATCTTTTGAATAAAAACTCCAACCAACAGAAATAAAAACACCTTAATTTATTCCAACCATTTCTTCCAAATAAACAACATTAAAACTCACTTTTACACACATCATTCATAATAAAGCATACTAACACGCCGCTTTTGACAATTGCGGCGTCGAGTGGCGCGCTGCTAGCGCTCTTTTTCGATCGCAGAGACCCTGCACGCGCGCGAGCACACTACGTCACGTCCGGGGGGCACAGGTATATGAAAAATCGCAGTGACGTAACACTTTCCTCGCTTCTCATTGGTCAATAGCCCGTTGCCGGGGTAACGTGCACGTATGTGAGCGCGGGCAAGAGTACTAGCAGGCCGCCGATCAGGGCTCCGGCTAACGACGGACCTGTTTTTCTATATTCTACCTCATCTGGCCAACAGTCTAATGTCACCTCACCTGCCGGTTGTTTTTATCGCACCCCTTCTCCCCTCGCCCCCTCGTCCGCTCCCTGCCACCCCAGCTGTCCTTTCCCATTTCCCTCCCTCCTTTCATTTATCTTCTCTCCCTCGCTTTCTCCAGGCGTCGGCCGCCCCGAAAGCCACCCTCTTGTTTGTCACCGACGAAGCTGTTTGCTCAGGTGTCCCCTACTGCCCACGTGGTCGCGGTCTCCTTTGAAGATCCTATCGTGGAATGCCGTAGTGGTTGCTGAGGGCTGAAGTGGACACCGGTTAATGGTAGGAGACGCTACCCTTGTTCAGTCGCCCCCCCCCCTCCCCTAGTCACGGATGTTTTCGAAATTCACGGACCATGTGGGACCCAGGTGGTCCGCCGATAGGGTTTCCGGGCGCGTCAACAGCGAGGTCATTTGTCAGAGTGGACCGGCCTGTCCGGCTCCGGCTCGGCGCGGCACGTATGGTCGCCATGTGAAGGGTTTTAGATAGATGATATGACGCCGCCGGTGTCCGGGTAACAGTCTTCTGTTGTGCCAGCTGGTGCAGGATGGAATTTACCCGGTGTGAGAAAATGCAGCCATGTCGTCGATAGTATTCAAAATCCCGAATCCACCCAGAATCCATATTTGTTTCTAAAGATTGTATATGTAATGCCACTCAGCGAATCAATCCCCGTCGCCTTTGTCAGGCTTTTTGCCTGTCTCTGTGGCCAGGTGGACCGATCCTTGTGCCTATATTTTTTTTTGCGATGGCGGTCTAAACTAACTTCGCTGTATGTATGCGCGACAAGGCTGGGTTGTCTTAATTACTTGTCCGTTTTTCCGGACATGCCGAATTGAACTGGCCTATGTCAGTTTGGGCGGCGAGGTAGGCGGTCTTGACTAACGTCTTCCTCTTTCGGGACAGGTGGGAGGTCTGAACGGCTTCATGCAGGACCTGATCACCGAGGTGCTGGCTGTGGTTCGCGCACACGTCACTTCGCTTGGAGGGAACGCACTCGTCTCCTACTTCATGTCGCAGTGTGTGCTGCTGCCCAACCCGCACAAAAACCAGGTATGCTACTCAGCTGCGAAACCCGCACAAGTGACAAAATTTAGTTGCCGGTTGCCGTCAATCTTTTGCAAAGAATCAGGTCCGTTACATGTCTTAATTGTGCTGTGTGGATTTCATGAATCGCCGCAGTCCGCATATCTTCTGTGGTGCCCAGGACCCATCACTTCATATTCCATTATCTCAGAGTCGACATATGCTTTCACCCCATTTATACCAATGCGACTGTCTCTCCACAGTCAATAAAAGACGACTGGAACTATTTTCGTGTGCCTTTCGATTGGCTAGATTCGGTGTATTGGTGTTTAGGGATAGAGTTCTAACGGCACCCCCGTTCCACCCCGCAGGCGCAGTGCCTTGTCAATGTCGGCGGCGACGCAGTGCTGGTCGGCCACGCCGCTCGGTCCGACGACGGATGAACACGGGTGCCACCAGCAGCGGTGGAGGCTCGCAATATCACAGCTCGGGAAGTGGGACAGTTAACGCGCCGGTACGGTCACGGGAAGACATTTCTGACCACGGGACCGCGTGAGTCAGGCCAGCGAAGTTTGTTTCTAAGATAGATTAGCGGCCAGTGGAGCTTCGTGATGGCTTAGTGACCGCGGAAGCATCCATCGCTCACTCGTTAAGTGCCCCGTTTATTCCGCTGTTCTCGCCTTTGATAGTCTACCATCGAAAGCATTTGCGATTGCGAGTGATTATAGAACGGTTTAATGTTCTGCCTTCAATATGTTATGGGTCCCTTGCAGTAACGGAGTGTCATGTTGAGCTCAATTTCGGGTATGGTGTAGTCAGCGAATTTGTCTCAGAGTAGATTGGTCAGTGACCTTCGGGCCAGGGTGGCTCGTGTTGCCATGACTGTTGGCTGTTAGACTGAGATGTGGGCCTTCTTTGACGCATGTAGGACGTCGGACCAGAAGAGTCCGATGGTTAACGTAAGTTAATGTTGAAAAGACTAGCACCAGTATATGCAATTAAAGACATCGAGCGCCGACCGTCGCAACGCCAGTTTGGTACGGTGCCGCATATCGTAATGTACGGCACTGTATGACACGATATAGTAATACACCGTGCAGCATAGTACGATATGCTACGATACGGTACGGTGGGTATACTATTGGGCCTGTATGGTGCGTTGGAACACTAAATGGTGCGGCCGGCCCGGCCTATCTGCCTGTTGTCGCCTTGTCCTGACGACCAGTCACTATTGCGTGACGACGGCCGTGCCGCGAAAGTGCAATATATTACCTTCGCTACACGCTCTTTTAGGGGCGGGACGAGACATAAAACACCAACTTAAAAATGGCAAGGAACTTGTTTAATATTAATACACTCGAATATAAAACATTGAGATGCGCTTTGCGTTTGTACACTCAACTCCCTTCACTACCACACATATTTAGCGTCTTAACGCGTAACTACCACACTACAACGCACAGTTCGTGACTTAGACAACGCTTGACTTAGACAACACATCTCTCAACGTGAGATAACAAATCTGATCAGCGGGTACTATCACAGATACACGGGGATCAGCCGGGTCCCATCCAGCGCCGGCCAGCACTCCACTGTTCTAGGGAGCCCCCAACCACCCAGGTTAAAGGAATATACACCTCGTCATGTTCAGCCTGCCTGAGACTACGGCCAGCGTCTAACCGTGTCACGAAATGTCGCGCAGGACATCGAACGCGCCGACTTGACATATTTGATAGCTACGGTACAACCGCGTCAATGAAAATCATCCGAGCAAGACTGCTACACGGCGACGATAGAGAGCTTTCGATATTGCTTTGTTCTTATTTAACATGGTATTGTTTTCCCTCTACATAGTATCTGTGGCTCTATCTGCCTGTCTGCATGTCGGTTGTATGTCACCAACTGCCGTCCGATCACTGATGAGCTTCTAACCAGTACCTACAAATATCGCACGAAATGTCCATCGAACAAACTGAAAGTAAAAAACAAAAGCGAAGAAATGAAAATTGGCGAGTACAGCTTGGACTTGACATCACAGGCCCTGCTGCTGCTGCACCGACGGTCTAGTTCGCCGTGGGTGGCATGCCCGGCGTTTAGGCTTCTCTCGAGTACTGAAGCGTTTCGCTATTGATCAGTCTTGTCTAAATACTTGTGCGTTAGACATACATCACATGGCCTGTTGACCGCCGTGTTCCCGTAAGTACTTGAGCCTGTAAGTACTTGAGCGCCCGGCTATTATTTACAAGTTTTAGGGCACCTTGCCGTCGAATGGGCTTCTCTTGAGTACTTGTTATTTGTATACCATCTTGCTATCAGCCGGGCTTCTCTAAAACAGTTCTGAGCCTGAATGAACTGTTGGCTTTTCTTTAAAGCATTTGTGCGTCTCATCGGACTTCTGTTCAACGCTTGAGCGCCTTGTCATCCAGCTGGAGCCAGAAGTCCTTCATGTGGAGCTGAAGGAACTCTTCGAACTTCTCATCCAGTTCCCTCAGGTACTTGTGCACCGGTGTGCCCCTCTGCAACAAGAGCGAAGGAAGATTTCGGTTTAGTGAGAACCCTACAGTAACGCAGGAGGCAAACATAAGTTGTCAAGATACAAAGTAGTGTACACTACACAACACTACCAGGAGAAACTTTTATTTTGCTTATTCAAACTCCATAACAAACGTATAACGGTAGGTATTAACAGTCCAGCTGAACGTTAGGGGTGCACGAACGGTTACTTCATCAAACTCCTCGATAACTCGGGTAAGATAGGGCATCGCCCAGATCCAAAAGCCCCAGTGTAATAACTACTAACTTGGTCAGGACGTCTTACAGCTGTCAGTATTGACCTACCTTGAAAAAGCGGATCTGGTCGACCAGTTTTTTGGTGGTGCGCAGAAAGCCCATGAGTGTCTCGAACTCGTGGTTGAGCAGTCGCTCTTTGATTCCGTCCAGGCAGACGGGCTTCTCGATGGCATCAAACTCGGGCAGTTTCTGTTGGTATACGCAGGCGTCAGTCACGGCACGCGACACAACCGACAGTCGAATACAGAAATACGAACGGTAAATTGGTGAGTGCAAAGTGAATCATGCGAGCTGCACAGGTAGTGTGGTTGATAGAATCACACAGGAAATGAATTAGGAAATGGAAATTTGGGATGCAAGTTAAGAGCGCATGCCGATTCTAACGGGTCTCACCTTGCCAACAAACGGCTGACAAATTGTATAAAGACTGAGGTAAAAAGCGCCTCGCTTGCTGAAACCGTCAGAAACCTTTGCCTTGGCCCCCACCAGGATACGTTTCAGCCAAGCTCGGGAAAAGCTGCTGTTCAAGCCTCGCTTCAGCTGCGGATAGAGACAGGTTCCCGAATTAGGAGTAGAACTTCTTGTAGAGACTTGGGTTTGGAAGAAGTGTTAGGGGCTAAAGAACTTTACAGGCAGACGACGTCTCTAGAAATATGAAAATGATTTTGCATAACAAGAACAGAGATATGGTACATTTATGGTACAGGCGAGAGGTAACTGTGAGTGCACAGGACGGAAAGAAGTTTCCATGCAGAAATCAGGATACAATGGCAAAATGCGATGGTCGCATGAATATAAAATATAATGCAGATCCAACGTAATGGTGTGAATCTTGGAGACAGGCTATGAGAGGGCGTGAGTGCGCATTCCAAGAGCAGTAAGCTTGATGCTATGGTGCAGTGCAGTGCATATGATGACACACATGCAACAATATATGCACATTATACTATACACTACAGCATATACAATAACGTTTATCATTCATGTACACCGCCAGTTGTCCTCCGGCTCCGGCTATGTACAATTCCTCCATTCCTCCGGCAGTTGTACAAAACACATTATACAGCCCCCCCCCCCCCCTCCCACACACACGTCATTTCCCCACTCACCGACATATTCTGGAGGCTTTTGAAGTACATGGCCGGGTAGTAGCAGGCGTACAGTTCGGTTAACAGTCGTCTGGCGAGCGTCATGTCGGTTTCGTTCATGGTATCGCCCGGCCGGCGGTCCAGCGGGCTCATAGGTGACGGCATCACTCGGCACATCAGGCAGAGCCAGCTGCTGAGAGCGGGGGAGGGATGGGGTTAGAGATGACGCAGAAGGTAGAATCATACGAGAATTAGTTACATGGTGAAAACCTGCGGTACCAGTCAGACCATGATGCACACATAATTAACAAACCACGGTGATGCCAAGAAAAGCTCGGTTACGTCCCCGACAGCAATGCCAACTATGCATCGATAATTCAAATAAATATTCAACATTCGAGTCCCAATGAGCCAGCCCAGTACCTCTGTAATAGTTTGTGAGAACCCACCGCTCCCTCTCCTTTGCCTTCGTACTCTTCCTATCTTCCCTACCCATGCCTCCTCCCTCTCTTGCCTCCCCGCCCAACTCTTCCCTCTCGTTTTACTTACTCTTCTCCTTCCTCGTCGCCGGCGGGTCCGACGTAGCACTCCCGATGGAAGGCGCGCTCACACGAGTCACAGAGCAGCAGGTCACCGCCATCCCAGCAGAGCACGCAGTAGCTGATATTGGGAGACGTGGGACCGCGCGCCGGGGGCTCGTAGAGCATCCCCCGCGGGAAACAAATACCCAGCGGGTCTCTGGCCGGCTCCCAGTCGAGGGCCGCCTCACCGTTGGCCACCGACTCGGGCACGCGCACCACGTGGGTGAGCTCCTCCGGACGCACGCCGGCCGGGGTCTGCCCACTGAGCGGCACCAGCCGGTCCGGCGGCTGTTCCGAGGACGGGCGCCGTCCGGAGGAGTCTGAGGACCTCCTCCGAGTAGTGTCCTCTGAGAACTCCCGCCGGCTGGGCCCCGGCTGGGGGCTGGCAGAGGTTGTGGGAGTGCCGGCTGGAGCGGCTCCCTGTGCCGTGCCGGTCCCGGCCGACTCGCTGGTCCCACCGGGGGGCGGCGGGGCGGCCGGGGCGGGGCTCCGGCGCGGTCCGCTCTGCTGCGTCTGCTCGGCCGGCTCCTCCACCTGCATATTCACCTCCAGACCGGCGTCGGCGCCCGAGCCGGACTCGCCAGAGCTGTGCCGCTCGCTCGGGTCCCGCGGCGCGCACTTCTGCAGTATGAACTCATCTCGAGACGACCCTGGGGATGGTCATTTATTGGTCAATCCATAGGTTAGGTCGGTGTCTTAGTAAGCAGACAGCAAACATGAGTGGGAACTATTGGACAATCTAGGGGCCTACTGGGAGTTCAACGAAAACATATTCCATCTCCAGCATGACAAAAAGGCAAAAGGACACACAACGTTTATGACAAGCCTTCCGGTTCCCCAATATCAATGACCATATGCAATGTTATGAGACGAGATGCGATACAACACAATCAAATCCGAAAAAAAATAAATCGCGTGTAGACATGTACCGAACCTGTAATACGCGAATACTTACGTAAATAGGTGCGGGACGCCGATGGTGGCCGGCCCGCCGATGACGGTACGTAGTCCTGCGGTGGTGAAGGTGCCTTCACCCGACAGCTGCTGGGGTAGCGCTGAGTGTCTGCCGGAGGTGGGGCATCCGTCGGTGAGCTGCGGTGCCTCTTCTTTGGCACCTCGTCCTCACCAACGGCCGGCCTCTCCGCCGCACGCGGCTGGGCTGCGGCGCCACTCCCGCCCGGCCATCCATCACCACCACTGTGAGCTCGCTTCCGCGCCGCTTCAGCCGAGGCGACTGGCGGCTCCTCCACACTGGCACTCCTCCGGATATCTCCCGACTCCACCCACTCCCTCAGTGTGTCTATGGGGTGCGACTGAGGCCACTGCGGCTCTCCAGGCCGTGAGCCACCGTCGGGCCGCGGCCGCGCCGGCTGCTCTTGAAACAGAGCCACCATCGGCGGCTGCAGGACTGGGGTCCTCGCCGCAGACGGAGACGGTGCCTCCTGCTTGGGGGAGGGCAGCGATGTCGGCGTTTGCGGCTGACTGGGCGGCCGGTTCACGTGTCCGGTCGAGAGTGGCGTCAGAGTGATGCCGCTCCTGCCCGACAGCATAGCCGCAGCTCTAGTCGAAGGTGTCTGTGCCCGCGGGTCGGGCTCCGCCGATGACTGCGGTTGGGACACCAGCGGAGGGATCGCGGGACCGCCATCACTCGCGTTTCCTTGCGCTGCGGCTGTACTAGCAGGCGTGTCGAGCGAGGCGCACAGAACAGTACCGCTCGTCGAGGCGTCGGGGAAAGTCACAATCCGGGTCATCGTCACATCCGGCGTGATGGTGCCCGGTACGCTCAACTTGGCTTTGGACGCTCGCTTCGCTTCGGCAGGCTTCCTCGGCTTGGACTTAGTCTTCTTCGATGGCGCATCAGTCGACTGCGAAAAGATGAACGGCTTAGTTAAAGTTGACACTTGACAGTAGTTAGTACCAATTCTTCAGCTATTTCTGAAGCATACGTTTTTTACGCTGCGTCGAGATGTTAAGCACAGCGAATCGCAATACTTGTTTACACAAGTCGTGCAAACATGATCAATATTAACGTCTTATCAGTGCCTTAGCTTCCCCTGCGGTATCACCAGCTACGCACCTGTGGGCTGTCGCCACCAGAAGGCATGCGTTTCCTGCCGAGTGGCACCCGGAACTGTTTGTCCAGGGACAGCTGGACCGGTCGCGCCGGCCGCGGCGTGGCTGGGTTGTGCCAGCTCACCGGGATCTGAGGCAGCTCCGGCGGCTGCGGCTGCTGCTGCGGAGGCGGCTGAGGAGGCAGCGGCTGGGGCTGAGGCGGAGGTTGTCGAGGCAGTGACTGCTGCTGAGGTTGCTGCAGCCGCCACTGCGGATGAGGCTGCTGCTGCTGCTGCATCTGCCAGTGTTGCTGTTGCTGAATGCACTGCGCTGGGAGTTGTTGCTGCTGCTGCTGCTGTCCATACGGCTGCTGCTGCTGCTGCTGCTGGAGCAGATGCGCTAGCTGATACTGTTCCACCGTCTGTTGAGGCATGCTGCTGGGACATTGTTGCCGTTGTTGGTACATCTGGGGTCCATGCTGCTGCTGTTGCTGCTGTTGGAGTTGCTGCTGCTGCTGCTGCTGCTGCTGCATGTGGTACACAGACTGCTGGTATTGCGGTGGAACTGACGTTGGCGGCACCCGCTGCTGCTGGACGTTCTGGTGGAACTGTTGTCCACCACCCGATAACAGTTCAACATTGACAACTTGCTGCTGCTGCTGCTGTGCCTGCTGGGGCAGCTGCTGATTCTGCTGCGGCAGCTGCTGGTTCGGCTGGCCCTCAGTCGGCGCAGTGAGCAGATCGCTCAGCACGGACCTTTGCGGCATGGGACCCAGCTGTTGACCCACCAGCTGGACCAGCTCCTGCTCCTGCAGGTTCAGTGAGAACGGCGCCGCCTCCTCAGGCACGCCGGCCGGCGGAGGCGCGCCCTGCTGTGCAGCGCTGGGGGCCGGCGCGGGGACCCTGACGGCGGCCATATAGCCGGGCGGCAGCGGCCTGCCCGCGCCAGCCGCTGACGACGGAACAGGAACACGCAACAGCGGCGGCGGCGGCTGCTGCTGCTGCTGCTGAGGGTAGGACGGCGCCTGCCTCTGCTGCTGAGGAGGCCGCTGCTGCTGCTGCGGCTGTTGATATTGTTGTTGCTGCTGCTGTGGCGGCTGCTGTTGCCGTTGCTGTTGCTGCTGTTGATACTGTTGCTGCTGAGGCACGCGCTGCTGCTGCTGCTGTGGTGGCGGCTGTTGCCGTTGCTGCTGATACTGTTGTTGCTGCTGAGGCATACGCTGCTGCTGCTGCTGCTGCTGTGGCGGCTGCTGTTGCCGTTGCTGCTGATACTGTTGTTGCTGCTGAGGCACACGCTGTTGCTGCTGCTGCTGCTGCTGTGGCGGCTGCTGTTGCCGTTGCTGCTGCTGCTGTTGCTGAGGAGCGCGTTGCTGCTGCTGCTGCTGTTGCTGTGGAAAATGGTGCTGCTGGCCGGGAGGAGGCTGACCCGGCTGCTGGACGCCCTGTGAGGGTGCACCCTGCTGCACCATGCTCCTGGTCACCCTATCATGCAGCTCCTTGATCATGTTGTACAGCTCAGGCCGCATGCTGGGCAGCTGAATCAGCTCCCTGAACATCATCGTCACGTACTTGACGCCGAAGTCTGTTTGGGAGCGCAGCTGGACGTACATTATCTGGGCGGTGGTCACGAGGAAGGCCTTGACGCAGGCGTCATGCAGGGTGGGCTGTATGCACTTGCCGTCGTCGAACAGTGCCAGGGAGATCATGTCGCCGATACCTGCCGGAGAGACGGGGAGGGAGGGCTGCGGTCATGATGACTCGAGGAGAGGCGGAGGGATAGAAGATGGGATCAGTTCGAGGCATGTTGAAAGGAATAAGGGTAGGGAGGGACGGAGTCTTACCAAAACAATCGCAGCTGGGAAAGACTGGATGGATAGCATGATATTTTGTGAGGGATCAAAGGAGCAAAACTGGAACGATCCTGGCGGGTAATGTCTTGCGAAAAGTACGGGTATCCCGACTTTACCAGCTAAATGTTGTTAAAGCCCCTAAAGAATCGAATGAGGGTCCATCGATTTATCCGGTTGTCTTGATTGTTGGCCTTCGAAAACGACTTACGGGTTTTAAAAGTTCGTGTACCGTCCAACCATGTTAATATCGAGCAATACGGATCAAACAACACATTCATGCAATAACAATTCATTCAACATTCCTTCGATCGGGCACTCACGATCAATGGGCAGGATCCGTCGCAGCTCCATCTTGGGAAGCCGATTCGCCGGCTGGCAGTTGATGTCCACCATTCCCAGCTTCTTGGCAAGAGCCAGAATGTATCTGAAAAGAAATGAATGCTACTTTGAAAGGCCTTGACTGGAGCAAGAACAGCTAGAAAATAAACGTGCTAAATATTTGCAGGGCCTAGTGGGATAAGAGCCTAGAAAATAAGGTAATGCAACGATTGCTACCGCATTTCTACACAACCGCAGAAGCGCAAAACATACGCTTGATTCCATGTGCGTCATATAATTAAATCGTTGTGGCGTCCCTGCACGAAAATCAACGTCACCAACACTTTCAACAAAAGCACCACGTATGTTTGACCTTCCGTGGTGCTTAGTCAGCTATGACCCCCGTACCGCAACCAACAATCCCAGGTTTTCAGTCATCAATGTCCCAACTCCAAAGCACTTCAAAGTACAGCACCCGGGCCGCAGCCCTTCCGTGCCCAAATCATAACCAACAACAACCTTACACTCGCGTCCCCGCCTCGCCCGCGTCTGTCCTTACTTGGCGTTACCGATGAGCGTCGCCGGCCGGCCGTTCTCCAGGAGTCTGTGGGCGAAGTTGTCCAGGTGTGCCAGACGCAGCTCCATCAGGGACACGCTCTCCAGCAGCGTCTGCAGCTCGTGGCCGTACATGTCGTACCGCTCCTGAGCCGCCACCAGCTGCTTGTTGAAGAAGTCGCGGATGCGCTCCTGATAGCTGAAGGGGAGAGAGAAGGGAACGGTGAAAATTTAGGCGGCTCCTTTGCTCGAGTATTCAGGCAAACGCTACGCGGAATGGATAGCGTCACCCTGTGGTAGCACTCACATGGTCTACTTTTTTTTTCTAAGCCGCCGCCCATGAATAGACGACCAGGAGTGTCCACCCACTGACCCGCGCGACACATAGAACCTTACGTTAACACCACCCCGAAACATAATACATCAAGTCGCGACACTCCCTGCTAGGAGAATGAAGAAAACAAAATCAAAGCTGGAATAAGCGCGGTAAGGCCCTTGTTAGTATGGTATATGGCTTAAAAGAGAAGCAAAGAAGTCAAGGCTAAATGTAGCTTGACTGGCCACTACACCTTCCCATTTAAGAATAAGCCAAAGGATCAGTCATTCCATCGGTTAGTTAGGTTAATCGTGCAGCGCATTCACACATTTTTGCGGGGGGGGACAGTATCTGGTCTGGGTTCGGCAGAGTCAAATGCCCACTGAAAAGAGCCGCCGAGCTAAGCAAGCTTGTTGCTCAGCGAACTCAAATCAGCGGGCAAACGTCAGGGCGTTATTTGAAGTGTTACGTATTGTTACGTAGTTTATAAGCGGTCGAAATATATCATGTTGTTACAAACATGAATTCGAGAATGCGAACACAACACATACATGAGTGACTCCACGAAAAAGATATAAGGAAAATACACGGTAGCAAGGCATCGCGAAGACAAAATTGCAAGTCTTGTAAGGATGCTTAGTATCCGTCAATCTGTGTTGCATTACTATAAAGATATCAGATAGGTAATTTCACAGTTCGTAGCGATTTCGGCATCGGAACGCGCATGAAATACATCCCCGTTTGACGTGATACGATACAATACGTCAGCATTGAGCGCTGAACGCCGGAACTTTCAGTGCTAACTGTAGCGACAGCAACTCACTCCTGATGATGTCCCTGGATGAGCTCGATGCCTTGCTGTTTGCTGGAGTCAGCCTCGGCTAAACCTTTCTTCAGGATGTCCATTTTCTGGCTCAGAGACGCCCTTAACTCCCTGTAACAGTAGACACGACCAGAGTTAGCCGAACGGTCGGTGGGCTAACGACGAAGACGGCCATATTACCGTCGACAACAAAACAAGGGTAGGTTTGTTTGCCGACCAGACAAAAGCCAGTCCAGAGTCGGCTCTTATTGCATTGTTGAGGGGAGTCGTGATACGAAAAACAACAAACAGGAGAACGACAACCATCAGTATTGGGTACTGTAATAGTTTCAGCATATGAAGGCGAGGTTCAGTTCCAGGATATTGTCACCGGTCACCGGGCATTACACCAACCCCCTCCCCCTCCCTCCCCTCACTCGCACGCACACCTGGCAGGGCGTTATCGGTCGTCCAGCCACAAAAGCGCACACAGACCGAGCAGCAGCTGCGGGGGTGCGTCCGTATCTGGCGGGCGGCAGATGCGAGCCCCCGGCCCAGTCCCCTCCCCCACCCCCACCCGCCTACAGCTTGTAACAGCGGGGAACCGACTCGCTGACTCCCAGCCACTCCGGCCGTGCATTGGTCCGCTCGAAATAATATCCAGCGTACCAATTTTCAGAACTTTCAGGAAATTGGTCCGTGATGTTTGGTAACAAGGTGTTTTACAAAGCATACCAAACGACAAAACTTGGTAAGGGTCGGAACTTTCAATGCGATGTAAACAGCCTTCAACGGAAAATTTTGCAAACCTCTATATTTTTTGTGAATATTCCGCGAAAAATTTACGCCTTTCGCCGAAATGTGGAGGATACTTGTGTTTCATTATCCATAAATTATCCAACACCCTGAAAATACAGTATTCTTCCATTCCAGGCCATGTATCCAAGCTGTCACAACTGACGTCTTCTTCCGCCGAGTGAAGGCCATTTTATGATCTACCGCATCTTCACTGATATTTTTGGTTTGTTTAACAGCGTCAGGTTGCGAACGAAATAATTAAGTTTACTAAACATGCCCTGTCACTAATGTTTTTTTTTTTGCTTGAGATTTATATAAAAGACACCACATTTCACCATCAATTTATAAGCACCTGACATTCAGAACGCTGTTGTTGGTGTCCATCGTCCTTCGCTATTTTGCGCAAGAGTTTCGAAATGCTCATCTGTCATCACAGAAGATATTCGAAACAAAGGTAAATTAGTGACATAACCGCAACATATATGAGTAATTTCATGGAAGGTGAGAGGGAGTTAGAGGGAAGGACAGAGGGAGGAGTACCTGTATTGGAGTGACCCAGTTTCCTAGGAGACGCGCCGGAGCGTCCGATACCAAACTGAGATCGAACCCACCACCACGCCTCTCCCGCGGCGCCCAAACTAACACATAACGGCATCAGCCTCAAGTCCGTAACGGCACCAAACTAATGTCTATAGCGGCACCTAACTAACGTCTATAACGGTACCAAACCAACGTCTATAACGGCATTCAACAAACATCTATAACGGCATCAAACTAACGCCTAAAACGGTGCCAAACTAACGTCTATAACGGCACCACTATAACGTCTCCATTATAACGGCATCAAACTTAGGTCTATAACGGCACCAAACGAAAGCCTATAACCGCGCCAAACTGATTACGGCATCAGCATAAGTCCGTAACGGCACCCTACTAAGGTGTATACTGTATAACGGCACCAAACTATACTATACTATACACTACAGGGTGTCTCAAAAGTTCGTTGACACATTTCCCATGCCCATAAAGCATATAAGAACCGGCCAAAAATCTAAGGTTTTGGTGTCTGTGCGCACACTAGACAAATATGCATGCTTTGACAACTGATTCGGAAGGTTGGAAATCAAACTATTTGCTGTATCTCCAAAAATATTAGTCCATACCGATTTTCGTCGCTCCGTCAGCTGCCGGAGGCTGATAAGAGGTTACCAGCTTTCAAGCTCTTGTAGGGGAATCCCCTCCAGTTTCTGCGTCAGATTTAGGTTTGACGAGCTCCCCGGCAACATCCGCTTCTCCCTGAAAGCCGACAGCTTGCATCGACACCATCCGTGAGTATTTTGTAGGTCTTCTCTGGCGCTAACTCCTTCATGAATGACTGGCGCCGACCTCCCAAGCACCATTTTCCTTTTCAAAACAACCCCCTTCCTGAACAAATGGGAAGTGCCAGGGGCGAATTTCTCGCAGCATATCGTAGAAGAATGTGTCGGCCATCTGTTTCTTAGACACGTTGTGCAAATTTTGCAAATCCCAAACGCTCATCATTTCCCATGACAAGACCTTCGCTGAGTTGCGGAGTGTTTTCCTCAGAAGAAGTTCTGCTTAGTAAACTGCCAAAACCTGTCCATCGTGCGGTTTAGTCGGGATTTGTGTCTAAAAGAAAGCTATTCGCTCCAGATCTGCCTATTGAAACTTCGTAGGTAAAAATTTACATCAATTGACACTTTTGGAGGGTCAGTTGTCTTTGGCATTGACGATTTTCGTGTCATTTTCCCCCAAAATTTAGCGTTATAGATATTATAAACAATTTCAAATAATACTTTGTCTTTATTTTACGATGACCTGCAATTTTTGAAACTGGTTAACCTCTGTCTGTGAGCTTCTTGTCAGTTTTCAATAGTTATTACTTCATTTTCAGCTGCTTTCCGGAGCACGAGTCTGCTGCCGTACGAGGGTCGTTCAAAACGCTGTTAGTCTCGCATGGTTTTGTCCTTCAAAAATTTTAGCCGCCGTTTTTTTATTAGATGATCATCATGTTGTACTCATCCTCGCCGACAGTTTGCCATGGGTCATTTCCGACTTAACCATTCCCATTACTTCTGAAATAGTTTCTCAGCCGACCCGATTTTGCGACCTCCATTTTCATGCCTGACCCATGGTCAGAGATGAACCCTTTTTGTGAGCTCATGAAGGGTCGAATGCGCTTGAAAATAATGAGACTGCTTGAGGAAGGTTGTTACGAATGCCCATGCACAATTTCGACCGCTAATTAATTGTTGATTTAGAATTATTGACAAAAAAAAACATGGCTGGTACCTGACAACGAACTTTTGAGACACCCTGTATATATGACTATATCGGCACCAAACTGAAGTTTATAACCACGCCCAACTAACGTCTATAACAGCATCAAACTAAAGTTTATAACGGCATCAAACTAACGTATGTAAGTTGTAAAGGACCATGGCCCCAAACTAACGCCTATAATGACCTCAAACTAACGTCTATAACGGCACCAAACAAACGTCTATCACGGCACCAAACCCAACACTACGTCCCCTCCGGCAGCGAACTAAACAGTGGCCTCGAACAAAGCGTCGGAGCCCGCCAGCTCCGGCTGTGAGCCGGACCCTCGGCTGGAGCCACGGTTTGTGCCGGGACGGTGCTCAATAACACGGCTGCAGGCAGTCTCGGGTAACGACTAGCGTTTCATCACTGTCCTCATGAGTTATTACAGCGGGCTTCTATTAGAAAACAACCCTGTCTTGGGCTGAAACTGCCCAGCCTCTATAGTCTACGGTACAGCCGAGACACTCCAGTTTCGTAGTCAAGTCTCCTTTGTTCCTTCCCTCCCTCCCCTTCCTCCAACGACTCTCTCTCTTTCTTTCTCACACAAACACCCTCCTCTCTCTCTCCCCTTCATTTCCTGTCTCTCGCTTCCCTTCCCTCCCTCGCAAAAACATCCGCCGGGGCTGAGACGGCTGCCGGCTCCTGCTGACCCCCAAACCCCTCCCTCCTCCGCCTCCCCCGTCCGCCCCTGCCCGGTTCGGGACGGCCAAAATGGACGGCGGCGTGCCTTAGGCGCTAATGTGGAGCTCAGCCGGCGCTAAAGCGTAACGGCGGCCCGACAAATGACACAGCGATTCGTGCGACGCGGCCATGGGAGGGGACGACATTTTTAACATTTATCGCAAGCTGCGTCAAGCTTACAGTAGGTACCCGACCAAAGATCAATCAAACGTGTTCAATGAAAAGTTGAACAACATCCGTCCAAGAATATTGTGGGGGGAAAATGAACTTTAAATGGCCTTAAGTCAGGCTTTTCCGCTTCAAAGAAGTGCAACAATTAGAAAGAACACCTATGACGTCTTCAGTTTTTAAGTAGTCATGACGTAACAAAAAGCATGTAAGCGATTTTATACTGTCTTTTAAGTGAGTGTCTCGTCTTTCTTTTTCATTCTGATCCCAATATTTGGAAAACAAAACACTCTTTTTAATGCTCTTAAATAACCATAAATCCAAACTGAGTTTATCAAAATGGAAAATACGTTTATTGAAGTACGATCTTCCATTCGAACTCTTAGATCAGTAAAAAAATGTAGGAGTTATTCAACATTCGGTGGCATCACGAAACGGTGACCGCCGATGCTCGGATTTCCCCGGACTGAGTAGGATGGGGAACATGCGAGATGGGGAACATGTGAATTGCGATCCAAGCGAAATGGTCTTGTTCTCGGGTGGGTGAGTACTTGCGCGCGGTGGACGGGCACATCGCAGCTGGGGGGTAACGGGCCGTGAACATGACACTTCGACGATAAACGATTCAGAGAATTGAAGTGAACATTCGTAGCGTTAACCCGCGCCCCAGGGGGGCAGGGGGAGGGGTCGAAACGGCCCATTGTCTTCCTGTCGATATCTTTGAAGTATGTATTGCAGATGTCACCAAACTTTCGTGACCCTTCTGGGCATCAATTTAACACATTGTGACCAAAACTTTCTTGAAGAGGTTACGAGAAGTTGCCAACAAATGACGCCAAAATGACGGCCATTTTCGCCATTTTCGGCAGAAAAAGGTATTGCGGGAAGAGCCGTCACGCGTGTAGTTTTAAAAGTACATTTAAGTGTCACAAAAAGGTGTAAGATTAACAGGGCTATTAACTGCTATCCTGGATGTACGTTTATTTTGATCCTAAAATTCACAATAATTCATTGGGCAGGTATAACACCCTACAACACCGATATTTTTTAACAAACAGAATACATCTAATAGAACTTTAGTTCTTACATCGCCATACCAAATTTGTGATCAATAGCTCCATTTTTTGCAAACTTTTGGC